AGACGATAGCAACAAACCGCCCAGCAACAAACTTTTTCCTTTATATTTCCACCTACTTCTAGGGCCCATATCTTCGTTATATAGAAAGATAGCGAAAAACTAAGCACACGGTTGGAAAGCTTGGTCTTTTCTCTATCTTAAACCGAGTTTTCGTCCGCTGATATGTTGATAATAAGAGCAAAAAAAAATAAGAAACGTCGCGCTGTATTCAATTTACCTCAAAATTACCAAACTTCACGGCCTTGTGCAGCCGTTGCCAGAAGGAACTTCAATAAATGGTTTACATATTCAGAAAGAGCTGACCTTGGATTATCTTATTCCGAGTTTTCGTCAATATCTGTCGACGTCTGTAAAGAAAACGCTGATGAAAAGGAGCCTACAGTTGACAACAAACTTTACTTTTGTATTTCCATCTATGTACTTTTTGGACGGATATCTTTGTTATTTATAACGCTAGCGAAAAACTAAGCACACGGTTGGAAAGCTTGGTTGTTTCTCTATCTTAAACCGCCGATATGTTGATAATGAGAGCAAGAAAAAATAAGCAACGTCGCGCTGCCACGAATTTTTGCCACGGCTAAACTACGCTTGGGTCAATAACTCCTTTATATGACGGGGAGAAAACTCTAGAACTATATTCATCTTATGGGAAATTTTCTGCTCTTTACATCGGTATATAACAGATCTCAATCACACGTTTGCACAATCGTTTTTCAGCCCAGCAACAAACTTTCCCCTTGTATTTCCGTCTACTTTTTGGTCCAATATTTTCGTTATCTAGAAAAATAGCGAAAAACTAATAACACGGTTGGAAAGTTTGGTCTTTTCATTTAAATCACCTCAAAATTGCCCCACTTTAAGGCCTTGTGCAGCCGTTATCAGAAGGAAATTCAACAAATTCTTATTTCTTAGTCTTATTTCGAGTTTTCATTTACAGACGCCGTCAATATCTGCCGGCGTCTGTAAAAGAAACGCACCTGAAAGACAACCTACAGGTAGCAGAACGCAATCACTTCTTACCCTAACTTTCTTATTTGATGAAGGAAAACTTGGAACAAAGTTTTACCCGAGAGAGAATCCTAACTTCACTTCATGTTGACAGATAATTTTTCATTCAGTCTTAATTTATTTAAAACCGTTTAAAAACATATAAGTACGAACGCTTTCACGGCCGGTGTTAATAAAACTAACACTAGCACTATCACTACAACTAACACTAGATCTAGAACTAGAAACTTTCGGGTTGAGCCGTGCGTTTTTTGAACAAATGTTTGACGTTTCGGGTGCCATGTCGCAACTTTCTTCAGAAAACTAGTTGGAACCCAAAAGTTTCTAGTTCTAGGTCTAGTGTTAATTCTACTGATAGTGCTAGTGTTAGTTCTAGTTTTAGTTCTAGTTTTAGTTTTACGTTTAGAAACATGTTAAACTGTTCAAAACGGAAAGATTATTTCATGTTACACCTATTTTATCAGAATCTGGAAGAATTTGAGCAATTTTAGATTCGAATTGTTGAATTGTGTTTTGATGGTTTTTAACTCACAATCAGTTCAAGTTTCTCCTCGTCATACAAGAGAGTTATTGACCTAAGCGTGGTTTAGCCGCGGCAAAAATTCGTGGTTTAGGTAGTTCATAGTTAGAAAAAAGGATTGTGCAAACGTGTGATCACACATCGTTGAAAAGAGCAGCAAATTTCTCATAAGCTGAATATAGTTGTAGAGTTTTCCCCCGTCAAATAGGAAAGTTATTAGTGCAAGAAATACATGCGTGTTTTCATCGGTAGGGACTTTTTCAGGTGCGTTTTTTTTACAGACGCTGATAGAAATTGGCGGACGAAAACTCGGAATAAGATAGTACAAGGTCGGCTCTTTCCGAATATATAAACCATTTATTGAATTTCCATCTGGCAACGGCTGCACAAGGCCGTGAAGTTTCCAAACGTGTTCTTAGTTTTTCGCTATCTTTCTAGATAACCAAATTATTGGCCCGAAAAGTAGACGGAAATACAAGGGAAAAGTTTGTTGCTGGGCTGATAAACGATTGTGCAAACGTGCGATTGAGATGTGTTATATACCGATGAAAAGAGCAGAAAATTTCCCATAAAATGAACATAGTTCTAGAGTTTTCTCCCCGTCATATAAGAGAGTTATTGACCCAAGCGTGGTTTAGCCGCGGCAAAAATTCGTGGCAGCGCGACGTTTTTTCTTTTTTCTTGCTCTCATTATCAACATCGGCGGACGAAAACTCGATTTAAGATAGAAAAACGACCAAGCTTTCCAACCGTGTGCTTAGTTTTTCGCTAGTGTTATGAATAACAAAGATATCCGTCCGAAAACTACATAGATGGAAATACAAAAGTAAAGTTTGTTGCCAACTGTAGGCTCCTTTTCAGGAGCGTTTTTTTGACAGACGCCGACAGATAATGACGGACGAAAACTCGGAATAAGATAGTCCAAGGTCAGCTCTTTCCGAATATGTAAACCATTTACTGAATTTCCGTCTGGTAACGACTGCACAAGGCCGTGAAATTTGGTAATTTTGAGATAAATTGAATGCAGCGCGACGTTTCTTATTTTTTCTTCTTGCTCTTATTATCAACATATCGGCGGACTCGGTTTAAGATAGAGAAAAGACCAAGCTTTCCAACCGCGTGTTTAGTTTTTCGCTATCTTTCTAGATAACGAAGATACGGGCCCTAGAAGTAGGTGGAAATATAAAGGAAAAAGTTTGTTGCTGGGCGGTTTGTTGTTATCGTCTCGCCGGTAAAAAGTTTTATTCTTAAAATTTACAAAATACTAAATGAAACAATGTAAAAATTGATTATAAGATTAAAATCTAATTCTAATGTTTTCGATGCGAACGTTGAGAAGTTCATCAACGAATTGTTGTTATTGTTTTTCTTCTCACATTCTTTATTCTAATTCTTATCTTTTCGGGTGTCATCAGTTTTCTGGTGCACCTGCATGCTGTAACTATATGTTTAACTTTTACTTAAATATATGTTTTGTCTCGCCATTTTTTGCTAAACTTTTTTTTGAACATCTGTGGGATTTTAACAAATTTATCTGATTCTTGTTAATTGGAGAGTTATTATATTTGAAATCACTTAAAAAAAGTATAAGAAAGTTGAAGTAGGTCACTTAAATGAATTACAGTTAGTATGATTGGTATTGATGTGATACGAAAAAGAAAACTGTTTAAATTGAAATTATTATCTACATTCTTGTGATTCAACTTTTTATGTTTTTTGTGTGGCCGTTTGAGTCATTGCGAACTGCAGGACCGCGCGGCTCCCCGCGCCTCGCTGACCCCCAAAATCGATTTTTGCCCAGGCCTGGCGTGTACTTAGATTTTCGCGCTGTACGGTTACGTAACAACGTCGCCGCCGCCGGCGTCCACCACGATGTCCCCCTCGCGAAATCAACCCTTGAAGATGATATGCGAACCGTCCGTGCGACACCTAACCCCGATTTAGGGGGTTCAACCACGTCGCAATCACGTCGTCACAGACGAATAAGGGCGCGCACAAGTGGCGCAAGAAGTCACACAATGGTAAGTGCGAAATCTTTTGGAGGGAAGATGCGTATTCTTAAACATAAATTTAAGTGTATCCCCTCAATATTTTAATAAAAAGAAAAGTTAGATGATGTTAAAATAAGTAGCCTTTGGGTTGTTTTTAATGAAATTTTGTTGTGAAAGATATTTGCTTTGACCTAAATAACAGTGTCCTGATTTTGGTGCCAAAATTTATTATTTAATGCCTTGTTCTTGTTTACGTGGGAATTTATCAAAACTTTCACAAATCATTTAGTTTATATTAAATTGTAGGCTTAATCAAAATTGGAGCGCTTGAATCACACTTGAATCGATGGACATTTGGCATTAAGTTGTCGTTCCAAATGATTTATCCTCATAATCGTATTATGAAATATTGGCATGAATCCACAACGACAGTAAACATCTGGTGTGGTGATTTAAATATTAGCTTATTTAGTATTGTTATTATCAAAAACCTCTATTATTAATAAACATGCTTAAAATTATTAGGTGTCGAAAAATGTATGTGTCGGGGTTTATAAATATTCAATTAAGTTTTTTACGTAATATACATCACTGATTCCGCATTCGCGAATAAATTAAATCTTGAGCAACACAGTGCGCGTTAAAACATATTTCGAACGCTTTCAAGTACTTTTTGCTATCCGCAACCTAAAAATAACCAGTGGTCGCGTTGGTAAACGCCTGCTGAACCGGTAACTCTCAGTTATTTTCGAGTGCACGTGGTCATTTGCAGAATCACATGACATTATTTGGCAGGAATCAGAAATCACAACGTGGCGTTTCAAAATTTATTGTACACGGTAACTTGTATCAAAAACTTTCATACGACGCGGTATGCTCTAAATTAAGCCTAAATTAAGTGAAAAAGCGGTGTTAAAGAATTGAGTTATGCTTAATAAATGTAAAATAATTTTAATTAAAAATAATTATAAAATTATTTATTTTTATTATTTTTAGTTCCGCCTTCAGGATCAAATCGACGATTCAATGTGACAGTGGTGACTACTGGGCCTAGTGACAATGGATTTAACACCCCCATGTCGCCAGTGCCCAGACATAGAGGAGAACAGTTTGCGAGTATCCCGGAGGATACCGTTTTGGAAGAACCCACTCATAATATTCATTTCAGTGGAAGTCGATGTGCGAGTCCCGCTCCATCATGGGATTTTAGCATCGATAGTGACTCGGTAAGTTAACTGTAATATAAGAAATACAGGAAACTTTAAAACGAGGATATTAAGTTGCCTATACTACAAATTTCAAACCCACCAACAAATTTTTTACGTATTCACTTAAAATAATTACAAGTACAAAAAGAAATAAATTAAAATGCAATATATAAGAATTTAATTAATTCAAAATTAAATGTTTAATTTGAATTTACGAAAAAGTCGATTGATTTGTTGAAAAAGTTTTTAAGTTGGCAACAAACAGCTGATAACGCGCACGCGCCTTCTATACCTTTTACCACGATATCGCGCGATCTCCCCTACTTACAATCAAGAACCAGTCACCGATTTGCCTTACGTAGTATTAGTTCTATTACCAAAAATAACCAAAATAGCCGCTCGCACGTATTCGAACCGGTATCCAAGAAATCAATCGATCATTTACGATCGCGTAATAGTGTCTTGATAAAAGTCTAGGGGAAAACGAAACGGATCAAGTGTGAGCACTGGTGTCTGGATTGTCGTACATTTTCCCGACCGATTCGATTAATATTCGCGTTTTAGTATTGTGTTTTAAACGAAGGCATCTTCGGGTAATATTTTAAATTAGTAACTTGTCATAGTGATTTGTCAGTGAAAAGATTTGTGTATGTGTTAATATTTTATGTCACCGAGCTGACAGGAAAAGATCTCCAGGAAAAGGTAAAAATCTAGAAGATGGGAATTTGAGTTTCCATGGAAACGATGTCGCTTTGTTTTAACACGGTTTGGTTATGATTTGTTTCTTTAAAAATATAAAAAATATACCAAGGGAAACAAAAGTATTTAATTTTAATCTTTATTCTTATTATATATATCTTTATTTTGACAGTCAGCTGATATTGCGATTGTGGTTTATGGTTGAAATTTAAAGTTCATCTTTTAATAAAACGTATCTAGCAAAAAACATTTTCTAAGAAATCATAAATATCTTTGTAAAAATATATTTTCAGTAAATTTACTTTAAGATAACATGTATCAAAAGGTTTCAAGTGTTACATACTTGGTAGTTTAGATTTTCTTTTAATTCTTAGTTAAATTTAACCCAACCCAAACTTTAAACAGGAAAATATAATTCAAAAAATATTTAGATTATCTATTTTGATATATTATAACTGTTTTATTGCATAAATAAAGAAAGTAACTGTCAATGTAACATTCTAGATTAATGTTGTGAATGGAATTTTCCATTCATCTTTAAAGTTTTTTTCTTTAAAATGTTCCCACAATTTTAAATTATTTAAAGTGTGAATACAGTTTACAGTATTGTTGCTTGCGTTTAATTGTTAATATTGATTTAACAATATTTTTTGTTCTGATCAATAATTATTTCAACATTTTCTAATTTTATTAATGGTACTTGAAATCGACATGACAAAGTTTTCGGATATCTAGAATTAAGATCATACGCCTTTCAATCAATTTATTCTATTTTTATATTCTCGTGCAAAAATTCGACCTCAACATTTTGATGGATCTTTGCATTGATTTGAATGTTCCTGCATTAATTTTGATTACGACGAAATTAGGTAATATACAGGATGTTTCTAAATTGATACGAAAAATTTCAAGGAATGATTTTTCATGAAAAATTAAGGGGTGTCTTTCATATAACTTGTTGTTCAAAACCCCTTCTCCTCCAAGTTATAGCCCTCTAAAGTTAAGGGAAAAAATCTGCAACTTTCTTATCTCTTGACATTTTACAACTAACAAATTGTTAATTTGATCACAAAAAATAAAATAATGCTGAGATCAATTTGACATAACTTAATTTTTTTGACTAATAATAACCAATCTCTGAATTAATTCACTTGAGCTTGTTTATTATTTTATTTTTTGACAATAAGTTGCGTATTGAATCCCTCTATTTAAATCAAGTTTTTAAATAGCAAAATGTAAATGCATTCAAAAGTTCTGGTGCAAAGTATTATAGGAGTTGTTTTTTTCAGCCCCTTGTAATAACATTTTGCGGTTACAAAAATCGTCATTTTATTAGCAACAGCTGATATTGCGATTGTGGTTTATGGTTGAAATTTAAAGTTCATCTTTTAATAAAACGTATCTAGGAAAAAACATTTTCTAAGAAATCATAAATATCTTTGTAAAAATATATTTTCAGTAAATTTACTTTAAGATAACATGTATCAAAAGGTTTCAAGTGTTACATACTTGGTAGTTTAGATTTTCTTTTAATTCTTAGTTAAATTTAACCCAACCCAAACTTTAAACAGGAAAATATAATTCAAAAAATATGTAGATTATCTATTTTGATATATTATAACTGTTTTATTGCATAAATAAAGAAAGTAACTGTCAATGTAACATTCTAGATTAATGTTGTGAATGGAATTTTCCATTCATCTTTAAAGTTTTTTTTCTTTAAAATGTTCTCACAATTTTAAATTATGTAAACTGTGAATAAAGTTTACAGCATTGTTGCTTGCGTTTAATTGTTAACATTGATTTAACAATATTTTTTGTTCTGATCAATAATTATTTCAACATTTTCTAATTTTATTAATGGTACTTGAACTCGACATGACAAAGTTTTTGAATATCTAGAATTAAGATCATACGCCTTTCAATCACAATTTATTCTATTTTTATATTCTCGTGCAAAAATTCGATCTCAACATTTTGATGGATCTTTGCATTGATTTGAATGATTCTGCATCAATTTTGATTATGACGAAATTAGGTAATATACGGGGTGTTTCTAAATTGATGCGAAAAATTTCAAGGGGTGATTTTTCAGCAAAAGTTGAGGGGTGTCTTTCATATAACTTTTTGTTCAAAACCTTCTCCTCCAAGTTATAGCCCTCTAAAGTTAATGGAAAAAATCTGCAACTTTCTTATCTCTTGAAATTTTACAACTAACAAATTGTTAATTTGATCACAAAAAATAAAATAATGCTGAGATTAATTTGACATAACTTAATTTTTTTGACTAATAATAACCAATCTTTGAATTAATTCACTTGAGCTTGTTTATTATTTTATTTTTTGACAATAAGTTGCGTATTGAATCCCTCTATTTAAGTCAAGTTTTTAAATAGCAAAATGTAAATGCATTCAAAAGTTCTGATGAAAAGTATTATAGGAGTTGTTTTTTTCAGCCCCTTGTAATAACATTTTCCGGTTATAAAAATCATCATTTTATTAGCAACAGTTATCAGCTAAATTTCATTCTTCTGACAATAAAAATCATAGTACATCTCTTTGTTAATGCCACAATTTTATTTAGAATTCGAGGCTGCTTTGCAGCTAAGAGTAATGATTATTTTAATGCTAACACAACATTTAGAAGCCGGCGGCCATGTTACCGATGTCGGGGAAGGTACTTGACTATAAAAAGACGTATTATGCCGGTTATTTAATATGAATACGTTGTTTAGAAACAGAGGCTGCTTCGCAGCTGAGAGTAATTGTGGTATAAGTGCTTATAAAGACACAGTAATGATTTTCTCCATCCAGATCTTTCGATCTAAAATGTTTTCAAGATGGCCGCCACTTCCGATTTACCGGAAGTAGTCTACTTCGTTATTTTGAAGAGAATAGGTATTAATAGGTCATGGTTGAGTACGTTCTTTGTCATAAATAAGGCGACAACCTTTCTTTTCAATAGTGATGAATAGCCATGGTAGCCATGTTGCCGAGGCACGGGGAAGTATTTGACAATAAAAATCAGAGGACATCTCTTTGCTAATCCGACGATGTTATTTAGAAGCCTAGGTTGCTTTGCAGCTGTGAATGGTCGTGGTATGCTTACAAACATGTAGTAATGATTTTTTTAATGCTAATGTTACCGGCAATCTGTATGATCCGGTATTTTATACAACACCTAGACAATTTATAGAATTCCTAAAACGTTTAGGTAATATATGAAATATTATTAATTTTATACTTTACCTAGGTATTCCACAAATTAATGTGTGTAAAACGCGAGAACAGAAGAGAGAGAATTTTTTTACTTGCTCAATTCTGAGAGGCCAGTAGATCTATGTCTTGTTTTTACAGAATTTGTTTGTTTCCTAAGTTTTTAATACTTATTACTTGATTATTTATAAGCAAATGACATTATGTTGATTAACCCAGAAAAATTTTATGTTTAATGTAATTTAATTGTGATTTTACTATAGTTACAGAAAGGTACTTGGTGCTTTTTTTGTACAATAACTTATAGATTATAAAAAAATTTATAAGTACAGACCAAAATCTATTTATTTTGCACATTGGCGATCGACCAACAGGTACGCTATGTAATCCCTAAGAACTGTATATGTTACCGTCAAGAATCTCGGCACTTCGGATAGTCATGTTCATCAAACGCACTTTGAGCATTCGAAGCTTCATTACGGATCTCAGAACTTTCGATGACGGGGCTTTGTTGATGTTGAGCCTCTAGAAGTTGATTTTGTGTCCGAACCCGATCTACTATTAAAGGTTTTGAAGGAATCGAAATACTTGGTGATGACTTAATCACATTTTCTAGATCCTCTTCACTGTCCAGGTTATGAGTCTCATCGAGAGGTAAAGATACACCAACTTTTATTTTAGATCCAAAAAGAGCTTCGTAAGGTGTTCTTTTGATGCCTGAATGGAATGCTTTATTCTTCATGAGTTGTACAAATCGCAGACCATCACTCCAACGATCACTGTCACTATCTTGCATCCAAGTTGTTAGCATATTTTCCTGGTTTGCTCGTTCGACACTCCCCTGACTTTTGGGAATGTCTAGGCTTGCCATATACAATTTTTAAAGTTGGCGAGTACGTTTTAAGACTGCTTACAATTTAGTTTGAGAATTCTCTACCGTTGTCTGATTGTAGGATCGCTGGTGCGAAAATCAGTGTAAAAATATCCAGTAAATTGTAAGCTACTTCCTCTGCACAGTTTGTTTTTAGTGCTCTTAATATTACAAACTTCGTGAGATGATTTGTTTGACGACNGATTTTCTTTTAATTCTTAGTTAAATTTAACCCAACCCAAACTTTAAACAGGAAAATATAATTCAAAAAATATTTAGATTATCTATTTTGATATATTATAACTCTTTTGTTGCATAAATAAAGAAAGTAACTGTCAATGTAACATTCTAGATTAATGTTGTGAATGGAATTTTCCATTCATCTTTAAAGTTTTTTCTTTAAAATGTTCCCACAATTCTAAATTATGTAAAGTGTGAATACAGTTTACAGTATTGTTGCTTGCGTTTAATTGTTAACATTGATTTAACAATATTTTTTGTCATGCTGATCAATAATTATTTCATCATTTTCTAATTTTATTAATGGCACTTGAAATCGACATGACAAAGTTTTTGGATATCTAGAATTAAGATCATACGCCTTTCAATCACAATTTATTCTATTTTTATATTCTCGTGCAAAAATTCGATCTCAATATTTTGATGGATCTTTGCATTGATTTGAATGTTCCTGCATTAATTTTGATTACGACGAAAGTTAAGGGAAAAAATCTACAACTTTCTTATCTCTTGACATTTTACAACTAACAAATTGTTAGTTTGACCACAAAAAATAAAATCAATTTGACATAACTTCATTTTTGTGACTAAAAATAACCAATCTGTGAATTAATTCACTTGAGCTTGTTTATTATTTTATTTTTTGACAATAAGTTGCGTATTGAATCCCTCTATT